TTGAGCGGTAATTGTCTTTTTTGACAGAGCCGGCCACCATACTGTGACTCCGTAGAGCAGTATTGGTTGGGCAACAGCTCGATATATCCATTGGACTATACGTGGGTTCATACCCCATTTTAGTCCGATGGCTTTTTTGCAGGTGTATAGGGCCATAGTGGCCTTCTTCACTCTTTCTTTCGTATTTAGGTTCCAATTTAACTTCCTGTCTGTTACCAACCCAAGGTAACTGGCACTGTCGCTAAAGGTTAACCTACAGTTTTTTAGTGTTGGGGGGTTGAGTGGCGGAGTTTTGAACTTGTTAGTGAATAGCACAAGTTCCGTTTTCGAGGCATTTACACCTAATCCGCACGATCTTGTCCATTCTGACAATCGATCAAGTTTTGTGGTCATAAGATCACAGAGTGTTTGGGGGAATTTTCCCGTGAATATAAGGACAACGTCGTATGCATATGCCACTACTTTGCAACCACCCCCCTCCAAGTCACATAGAATCTTATTGACTGCAATGTTCCATAGGGGGGAGACAGGACACCTCCTTTCGGAGTGCCTCTGTTTACATACCTTGTCTGAGTGGACGAACCCATTGATGATGTCAATGTCCTGCATGTGAGCAATTGATCGATGAGCATCACCAAGTGGCAGTCCACCCCCAGGTCAGTCATGGCCGCCGTAATGGCTCCTGGCTCGACGTTGTTGAAGGCTCCCTCAATATCGAGGAAGGCTGCTAGGGAGTATTCCTTAAGGTGTAGAACTTTCTCTATACCTGAAATCACTTCATGTAGGGCCGTTTCCGTGGATTTACCTTTCCTGTATGCGTGTTGTGAGTCTGCAAGCATCTGAGGGTCGCTAATCCACAGAACTTGTCTCCAACCACCCAAGGCTCCTGGATTAGGACTACGTCGCCTCCGCTTGATTCCAAACGGAGTAGGAGGGCAGCAGTTGCTTCTTTACAGTGGTGGAGATGTATCTGAAGGAGCCTCAGAGGGATCCTTTCCTATCTCCACCCCTGTATTGTCGGCGTCCGACTTGCCGAAGCTTTCGTTCCGGCACATTGCCTAGAACTCCAGCATCAGCTCCGACTCTAGGGAGTCACCTTCTTGGGCCAAATCCAGCTCGTTGTCGGGTGCCTCGATCTCCGAGGCAACATCCTGCTCGACTGGGTTGTGGACAGGACGCACCCCGGCCGCTGCATCCGACTTGTATACCTTTACAGTGACAGAGCTGAACCCAAAGTTGAGCTCATTTTTGGCTGCCTCTATCGGGGCCAGCGACTCTTTATTTAACACGACCACGGCTTGGTTTGTGGGGCCCTGCGTCGCTTCAACTTTGACTACCTTCCAGTCCGCTGTTGGAAGGTTTGGGTTGCATCGCTGCAACATTAGCAGGATGCGTTCTGGCTCTCTTATGGAGGCCGGCACCCAAATTCTCGCCCTCGGTCTGCTGGGCACTTCGCTCCAGTCGACTGCTGCTAGTTTAGCGCCTGGATAAACTTCGCCTACTTGCGCTACCGCTGCTTTATATAGCTGCACGGAGCGCTCATCTTCGCAGGATTTAATTTTCGTGTAACCCTGGAACCATCCCATGTCTTTGCAGAGTGGAGGTGGGCCGGGGTCTTTGTCCAGGAGCTCGAAGCAGCGGTCGGCCAGTGCCGCTTCCACCCACTTCCACTGGTTCCTCGGGATTCTTCCGTCCGCGCTTCCTTTGTTGACGACGCCTATCAGCGTCCTCTCCTTGGCAATCTGGGCAAAGGACACATTTGGCAGTATCCTGGATAACTTTGCAGCTGGTCCAGGCGTCTCTTAGCACCACTTTGGAAAAAACGAATTTACATTTAAGAAATGATTAACAAATAACGAATTTCTTAGTTAACACTTTTGAACTATTAATTCTAAATCTATATTTATCGTTCATTATTTAGTTCAGTGTCCTATTTGGCATGGAATCCACTAAATCCAGCCATCGATTTTGTGGAGCTTTGGACCAGGACTCTTAAATTTGTTCTCAAAGTGATCCGACAGTGGTTGGCTTGGAAGCAGAAACTGCCTTCTGGACGTCGGACCACAGATTCTCGATGGGTTTCATTTCAGGCGCCTGTGCAGGCCACTCTAAAACGTTCAGTGTTGGCCCCGAACCATTCCTTTGCTTTCATGCTGGGGTTATTTTCCATTTGACCCATACGAGTGGCATTTCGTATTATTCAAAGGATAGCAGTACTGTCTCCATGATATTCAAGGGCACTTGCTGATCCATTATAATTTATATTCAATGTATTGACCCTACTATTTAGTAGGAGAAGCAGGCCCATACCATTACGCTACACATTTCATGTTTAATGGTTTATGTGGTATACTGGAGTTCTTTGGACGTGTAAAGTATCCATCGCTTTCCAGTAAATTTACTCATCTGATATTAATATTGTTCTCCATTATTGGGATGTCCTATTGGCATGCTCCCTTGCAAACTTCATGTGCTTAGTAATACATATAAAAGTGGTAGCTTTCTTGGTCTGCACGCTTTTAGACTATGTTGGCTAACATACATATGTTCAAACTGTCTAGCCCATCGCTTTTATTTTATGCTCTTATTAAAGCCATGTAAAAGGCTTGAAGGTTACCTTCTTGCTTTTATGAATCTGTCTTTTGACCTGAAAAGGGGTCATATATCGGTTTCGTCCACGTGTTTCAAACTTTTCTTCATAGTTAAGGCGTTTTCAACCATTTTTACGTTTTTACGTCCAATATCAATTTTTTGCTCAGGTCGCGCTGCTCCGCATTTCAGAGCTTTCCACGTCTTATTTGTATGATTATTATTAGCTTTTATGATAGAAACAATGAAATATTAGTCAAAACTAATAAATACGTGGTTTATAAAAAGACAATTCCGCGAAATTACGGAGATTCACTTAAAAAAGTCCTCATGGTTCTATTATTTTTTTACAATAAATAATACATAATACTAATAAATAAAATTAAATATACAGACGGAAATTAGAAGAAAGGTAACACTTTTTTTTGCTTACGGGGAATACTAAACTATATGATCAAAAAAATAATTTAAAACGAGAAGGGACGTGTGAGACGCTTATTACGCGTCACAACTTTTATACCCGATACTCAGTGGGACAACCAACCAAACCCCTTAGTGGGTTTTTAGAATTCTTTTATCTTCAAACCTGTGCATACCGCAGATTTGCGCGATTTGTGGGTGCGGAAGGGGGCATTGAGATCATACAGCCATCTGGATGCAAAATTTGGTGGCTCTAGCTGTTATAGTCTTTGAGAACCAGGCGCTCAACAAGACGGACAGACAGACAGACATGTCTAAATCGACTTGGCTATTGATGCTGTTCAAAAATATATACTTTGTGGGCTCGGAAACGCTTCCTTCTGTGTGTTAAATACATCCGTTATTCCGCACAAGTACAATATACCCTGTTTACTCTTCAAGTACCGGGTATAAAAATCGCAACCGTAATTGCATTTATTTTTGTCAAGAACAAAATGTGTTGTAATGGTGCTATAATTTTTTTCCCAACTGTATATGTACATATGTACATATATGTCTGTACATATGAACATACATATGTATATATATGTACACTATGTATGTACGTATATCGTATGTGTCCTAGGGAAAGAAAAGTGGGAAAGAGTATCACCTTGTGGATACTATGTACATATGTATGTACACACCATGCAATGCGATGATGCATTCTGCTCATGTTTTCTTTCTCCATCAGTTCATCCTTATTATAAAATATATATATATACATATGTACACTTCTGCCCAAAAAAAAATAGGTACACGATTATGAAATTTCTTTCATGACTCCTAAAACTTTTTTGGATGAAATGAAAAATCCAATTCGCTTACGACTTTTTAACACAATTATTTTTGATTTAAAATATGTATTCTGTGATCGTTTATAACTAAAAAGCATTAAAAAGGGGTGGTACAAATAATAAGTTATTTTGTATTTGTAATTGTACATTAATGCAAAGGTCATTAATGCATCTACCCTGGGATGCATTTCCCTCCACTATTGACAATATTTCCCTAAAATTCAATGATTTCTCTGAAGCTCCTTCCAGGAGAAGCTCTGCGCCACTTCGTCCGATTTCCATGTCCATTTAAACAGCTTACAATTCGTTTAAGAACTAAAACTGCCATTCTCCACACATGCAGTCATGTCAAAAATTTATTATTTTTGGACAGTTATATTATTATATTGGACAGTTGGCATTACTTCAGCAAATGCTCTGCAAAATTTATATTTTCAGAAATTTTTGGGTGCTCTTAATATAATTTTGTTGATTTTCTGCTCTAGTCTCTGAGAACTTGCCGAAAATCAAGACGAACGGACAGACAGACAGACCGACAGATATACAGTTATAGACTCGGCTATTGATGCTGATCAAGAATATATATATGTACGTTATGGGTTCGGATTCGGTTCTGTGCGATACTTTTGTGCACAAATACAGTACTTTTTGAGTACCGCGCATATAAAGCAATTCTTCTAGAGAGCTCTAAATATTCATGCACTTGAATCAATCTACATATGCACGACGCTGAGGATTGCCGATCGCGAATGAAACCAAGCAGAACGTGATAGAGACGGAAAACGGGTTTCCAGCTAATTTTCCAAGACAAATGTACATATGTACATGCATATATACATATGAATGTATCTAAATGTATATCTCATGTCCATGGGCTTTATGGGTGGTCAATAGCCCCCGGGCCATATAGGGAAAGCGCTCCGTAGCTATCGGGATGTGCGGCTGCAGGTTTTCAATCAATTCAAACTGAATCAGAATACAAAATTTTGCTAAAACCCCAATTTGGCAAATTACTTGATTTAATTGACATTGAAATTGAGGCGCCGTGACATCACAAGGGACGGTGCGTAATCTTTGCGGTGATCGCTAAAGCCGAATATACAAATATTTAATGTACTGAAATTTTAATTAGATTTTGTTGTCTTTTTGTTGCAGGTCGGAGCGTTCAATTGTGCGAGTTTCCATATACCAAAGCAGTCAGCCGCAACAGATCTGCCCACCGGTGGAGTATATCCAGGGGCCCTATTCAGACGGCCTGGATCTAACGATCGGTAGCTATACAATCGACCCAACCACAATGAGCACGACTTCGGCGACGATGCAGCAGCATCAGCAGATTGGACTTGGGGCTGCCTATGATCGTCAGCACAGGTGCGTCAGCAGTCAGGATGCGTACATACATACATATATCGCAAGTATTGATTTATAATATCATGTGTATAATTTGTGAATCGTTTGCAGCACTGATTCTGGCTGGGATAATCCCTTTCGTCCAGGTGGCGATCTCTCCAGAGAGGCCGACGAAATCGTCAATATGATTCGCGGTTAGTCCTGAGCTCTGTCTCTCTCTTTGCATTTGAGCTACTATAGCGTTTATATCTATGTTTATGCAGGTGGGAAGCCAATTACACCCACAGAGGATCGTACAATAGGAAATGGAAGCGCACAGCATGCCGATGACAACTGTAATGGCGGAACAGCGGTCGGCGAGAGCGTGACCAGAAGCAATGTTAGTCTTAATCGTAGTCAAAGTCTCATCTCAGATATTATCTCTCACACTCTCTCCCTCGTCAGCTCTCGCAGAATCAAGCAACAGCACAAAACGGTACAAATTCCCACGCCAGCAAGTTGGCGACAGTGGGCAATGCAACTGCTGGTGGTGGTGGCGGCGTTGGACGTGACGAGGGTCAAAGCAACAGCAGCACCAACGGCGTCACCGCTTTGGGCCAGGTGTCGAAACAGGTGGTGCCGGGACCAACATCGGCAAGTCATGTCGTCATCGATGAGAAGAAGAGCAAGAAGAAGGGCTGCTGTGTTGTCCAATAATCATGGACATCGCTGGCATACGACATGGGCTGTTGGGACCGCAGGGTGGCAGTATGCGCTGGGTGGGGGGTTATAGAATGGAAGAATTGTGTTTTTTTTTCTGTTCGTTTTTTTTATGTGATCCCGAAGCCGAGTCCGAGAGCTGGTGTTAATGTTTTGCTTTTCTTTGCTTTACGAATTCCAAGAGGAATAAAAATAAAATCAACCAAATCAAAGGAAAAGAAAGAAAGAGTAAAGATAAACAAAAAATCCAAGCACACTGAACACACCAGCATCAAACGAAATAACGAGCGGTTCAGTCGCAACAGAAACAACAAAAGAAAACCAATAACAAGGACAAGGGAGCAAAATAAGCCACGCTAGAACGAGAACAAAAAGAACTACGCTTAAGCGAGAAGAAAAGGAATATAAAAGCATCAAGAGCAAAAGCAATAAAGCAACGAGAAGAAAATGGACCAGCAACAGTAGCATCAGAAGCAATAGAATAATGCGTGGCAAAAGAGTCATCACCTCCATCAGAAGCACTAGAATAACGAGTGGAAACAAGTAAGAACAACGACCACCAAAGAGCTGCACTTAGGGGCCGCCTTTACCCATTATGGGAACTGGCACTTGCAATCGGTGTAGCCTCGCCACAATCCATAACCAATTGCTCTCCCAAAATCCTGAAATCAGTCGCAATTGCTGTTCTTAGAAAAGATTTAGCCAGTCAGTGTCCCCGCCAGACCCCCGAGGGACAGTCGCTTCAATTTTAAACAGCTACCGTAAACACGAATTGTAAATCTAAAATATATACCTAATTATAAAACTTATATATTATTTATATGTATATATATATATACATATATACATACTCGTTAGTCTGGACCCATATGCTAACAGTTGATTGTAGACAAAAAAAGAGTCCTACAATTCTATGAAATTATCTAGAACTAAATTTTTTCCTTTTTTTTTATATTTTAACGACCCACATACAAATGTATTTGTACATATGTGGATGCAGATATGTATATCTAAAAAAATACATCTATAAATGCACACATATATAAATGCATGAAATTTTTTTTATAATTGTAAAATCTAGTGCGGCTTTTTAAACAAGATGACATTTAAAGAGTAAAAACAGAACAAATACATTACTTTTTGCTTGCGTGCATAATGGGTAAAACAAAAAATAACAAAACGAAACAAAAGAAGAAAAAAATCTAACATAAAGAATAATGTATTTATTTGTATTTATATAATGACGATGATGATGCTGTTTAGGAGAGTAAATTAAATGTTATACCTTAAAACAAATATACACACACTATCATACATACACTTATACACACACAGTTATACACAAAATCATAAATACGTACATGCAATATTTATATACAAAATGAAATGTATGTCGCATAAAGCAGACGAGAAGTTGAGCTCACCAACAGATGACAAAAAAAACACGAGATCCCAATACTATACAGTTATTTTTTACCAATTCTCTACACATACTTTATACATAGGCTATGCCCCACATATTAAACAATATGTAGCTTGTGTGGCCCACTGTGGCGGGCCCAGAGCATAAAAGCCACAGCTGATCAAAGACACAACTACAGTTAGAAGAGCGGTGCTGTCGTCATGAGAGATCTAGATCAATATAAAGGAAGTGTGGGAAACAGCAGAGGTGTGCGGGAATGCCACTGAGATAAAATTCTCCCTATCAGGAATGAGAGAGAGAGAAAGCAAAAGCCCATAGGAGAGAGCGACAGAAGAAGCCAGGAAGAGAACCACCGTTGTTCAGCTTAGTTGTAAACATAAAAAAATACTCAGATTCCTCTCCGATCCGAACACTCATGCTTTTGCATCTAAATATATACATACGTATGTATGTATGCCCCACTCAATTTCCCCCGCCACAAACACAGTATTTAATCAAAACAAAGAAACATAACAAGCAGGTAACGAAAGCAAAGCGAGGTACAAGCGTCTATACAGGAGCAGAAACCAAATAGTAAATTACAGTCAAAAGAACACCGAAACGAACCGACTCAAACAAATGTACTCTTCCTTACCCACATCCACACACACATACACACAAACACACACACTTACAGCCTAAGCGTTAATAAGTGCAAAGTTGGATACAAGTAAATGAAATTAATAAATAAATGTATATGGAAATAGTAATGTTGTTTCACCCCAAAAGTAAATTACAAAATAAGTTCTGAAAAGCTAAAAGGTCGAGCAGTACGAAGAGCCGCCACAGCAGCAATAAAATCAATATTTAATATTGTAAATTTCCGATTCCAAATGAAAGAAAATCGTAAACCGTGAAAACCAACAAAAACGTTAAGCTATTGTATAAAAACAAATCCTAAATAAAAAACTAAAGCAAATACATGAACCTCCGACTGCTTTTGAAAGCTTTGATTGGCGCGGTGCCCTTTGGAGAATCGATTTTTAGCGATGGATGTTTGAGTTAATTAACATCGACTAATGGGATATTACTCAGGTATTCTTAACTCTATTTGCCATTTTTTCAATCTCTTGTTTTTATTTTAAAGCCAAATCCAAATAGATAAGTATGATTGTAATAGAATGCGCATACATAGTAATATCACGATTCCACATGGGAGTGGGAGAGTGAAATTATGCGTGGAGCTCCAAGTATGGGAACGACGATGATTTCACTACCCGACACTTTTTTTCCGCTGAGAACCAAACCAAGTTTTTATACCCGATACTCGGAGAGTAAATCGCCTCGGCTATTGATGCTGATCAAGAATATATATTTATACTTTATGGGGTGGGAAACGTTTACTCTGTGTGTTTCATACATCCACTTTTGTGAAGAAATACAATATACCATATTTACTCTTCGAGTACTGGATATCAAAATAGATGAGGCAAATCCTACTGGATATAAATTGTTAAACTAATGTCAAATCACTGGAACTTCAAATCAAGTATCTCTACCAGGAGTTTGTTACCAGGCATAAACCTGTCACCATTTTTCCTTTGAGAGAAATAAAATTTCAAAAATTAAAACTAATAACTCTGAGTGAGGCGAGTACAAATAAATTGGTTCAGTTATCAATCAAGTGAAGCAAAGTGATACCTCTTCAAAAATGCCGAAGGTTTCACATCGCCGCAGCACGCGTAATGCACTAGAGCCCCAGAGAGCTAGGCGCTCTACCTCAATGATCCAATCGATGTTTGGGCCCTTTTCCGTTGCCTCGGCAACAGTGGATTTTCAGAATATGCCGATCTATGAGGTTGAGATGATCCTAGATCAGCGCAAACGAGACGGTCGCACAGAGTTCTTCCTCAAGTGGAAATACTTCTCAGAGGAGTGCAATTCCTGGGAGCCACGGCGCCATTTGATGTGTCCCAAGCTGCTGCATGATTACTTCAGGAAGCCACGCCAGATTGCCCGCACCATGGTCTACTACTAGACTCTAAGCTACCATAAACGATGATGTAAATATAGTCATACTGTGTACCACATTCTTTGATACACGGTCAGCTACAGTCACAATTACTATCGCTCACTTTAGCGACACACTACCAATAAATGGTTCGCCAACGGATGGAATCGATGCGCTGTGGAGAGTTTGACCACGTTGTCTGGCAAGTAGAAACTACGCAAAATAAAAGGACAAGATAAGTCGGGCCTACCTCACTGACAGTGGTGGGAGACTCTGTCTTCTACCCGAAATCGATGTGTCCCAAGACCATGGCTACGTCGCCAGCGTCGGACTCAAAGCTGACGAGGATATCTTCTGATACCATCGACACTGCGTCCGGCTCAGTACGGACTTCCAGAAATCCGGGGTCTGGCTGGACCTTCCTCTATTTGGCCCCTGGAGTCGGATTTGTAGGCGATTTGTAGGATTTGTGGGCTAGTAACCATAGTCCGCTTTTCGCTCTGATTCCTTCAGGATTTTAAGGGAATCCTTGTTGGAGATGAGGTTGATCTGGCGCATCTGGCTCTTCACCTCCTCGACCTTAGCCACCTTCACTTCGCCTGTATATATCCTCCCACTTCACGGCCTCCGTTTTTCGCCCTCTATCATCCGAATGGCTGAATGCCTCCTAGGATGGATGGTGTAGAAAACCCTGCACTTGCTTACAAAGTTTGGAGGGCAAACCTCAAATAGTGTGTAAAATCTCAAAAAATGTTCCTTTTCGCAATAAGATTGGTGAAAACTGTACTTTGCGTTCGGACTGCTGCAAAGTGCAACAGGGCTAGGCACGGCCTAATCTATTGGGTATAGGACAAGGTGCTGATGCTGCGCTGCCGCTCACGTACACGCGTAATNTGCCCGCACCATGGTCTACTACTAGACTCTAAGCTACCATAAACGATGATGTAAATATAGTCATACTGTGTACCACATTCTTTGATACACGGTCAGCTACAGTCACAATTACTATCGCTCACTTTAGCGACACACTACCAATAAATGGTTCGCCAACGGATGGAATCGATGCGCTGTGGAGAGTTTGACCACGTTGTCTGGCAAGTAGAAACTACGCAAAATATAAGGACAAGTTAAGTCGGGCCTACCTCACTGACAGTGGTGGGAGACTCTGTCTTCTACCCGAAATCGATGTGTCCCAAGACCATGGCTACGTCGCCAGCGTCGGACTCAAAGCTGACGAGGATATCTTCTGATACCATCGACACTGCGTCCGGCTCAGTACGGACTTCCAGAAATCCGGGGTCTGGCTGGACCTTCCTCTATTTGGCCCCTGGAGTCGGATTTGTAGGCGATTTGTAGGATTTGTGGGCTAGTAACCATAGTCCGCTTTTCGCTCTGATTCCTTCAGGATTTTAAGGGAATTCTTGTTGGAGATGAGGTTGATCTGGCTCTTCACCTCCTCGACCTTAGCCACCTTCACTTCGCCTGTATATATCCTCCCACTTCACGGCCTCCGTTTTTCGCTCTCTATCATCCGAAAGGCTGAATGCCTCCTAGGATGGATGGTGTAGAAAACCCTGCACTTGCTTACAAAGTTTGGAGGGCAAACCTCAAATAGTGTGTAAAATCTCAAAAAATGTTCCTTTTCGCAATAAGATTGGTGAAAACTGTACTTTGCGTTCGGACTGCTGCAAAGTGCAACAGGGCTAGGCACGGCCTAATCTATTGGGTATAGGACAAGGTGCTGATGCTGCGCTGCCGCTCACGTACACGCGTAATACAGTGATTCGTACTAATACCAATATAGTGAAATGTTCCGTTTTGCGTGCGTCTTCACACACAAACGCAAAAACGGCTCGTTAATTGTATGGGTGCCGAGCCCTGGTTTAATGCATCTGCCACATTTTGTGTGGCATAAAACATGTCGACAGCTTTACCAAACGCTCGACTGATGGATGAATGCTTTTAGCCCATGCGATCGGTAGATAGTTTATTTCAATTGTTTAAGGCTAACAAATCGCTTATTACTTCCGCATTGGCCAAATATAAAATGAAAAAAAAACAGCATTCGCAGCGGGAGCACCTTTCACCCCATCGCCTCCGATCGATTCAATTAGTCAAAGCAAATCTTTAGATCTCCAACTTGCTGCTCATGACGCAACTGAATAACTCAGCGCTTTATAAAGCCACGATGACGAAAGTGGCAACTACAGGCTATACCACAGGTCATACAAATCTATGTAAATTAACAAATGTATGTACAATTTATGTACTTGCGAGTGTATTATGTTTAGTGAGGAAAACCTCACATGAGATAATACATCAATGCATCCCCATCTGTATCTGCCACGCCCCTACTTTCTTAAGCCCATGAAGCAACTGTAAAGGAGGGCCC